AAAAAAAAAAAAAGTAACCAAAGTCATGAAGAAATACAGATCTCCAGTAAAGGTAAATACATGGGCAAATACAAAAACAAGTATTATTTTATTTTTGGTTTGTAACTCTACCTATTATTTCCTACAGAATTTAAAAGACAATTACATAAAAATAACTATAAATCTATGTTATAGTGCATACAATGTAAAAGGATATAATTTATGACAACAACATAAGGGAGGGAGGACAGAGATGTATAGAAGCAGCATAGTTAAAAGTTAAGTAGGTATTAATTTAATATAGATCATTTTAAATTTAAGATGTTATATGAATCTCCATGGTAACCACAAAGAAAGTCTCTAAAAACCATCACAAAAGGAAATGAAAAAAGAATCAAAACAGCTCACTAGAAAAATAGAAACTAAACATAAAAGAAGGCATAAATCAGGAATTCACTGGTCCAGTGGTTAAGACTTGGAGCTTTCACTGCCTGGGCCTGGGTTCAATCCCTGGTCAGAGAATTAAGATCCCACAAGCTGGGCTTCCCTGGTGGCGCAGTGGTTGAGAGGCCACCTGCTGATGCAGAGGACACGGGTTCGTGCCCCTGTCCGGGAAGATCCCACATGCCGCGGAGCGGAGAAAAAAAAATTAAATTAAAATTAAAAAAAAAAAAAAGATCCCACAAGCTGTGCAGCACGGCTTAAAAAAAAAAAAAAAAAAAAAATAAGTGGATGAAATGAAGGCGGCTTAAAAAAAAAAAAAAAAAAGACATAAGTGGATGAAATGAAGGACAATAAGCTATAATATATACAGAATACAAACAGCAAAACAGCAGGAGTAAGTCCTTCCTTGTCAGCAATTATTTTAAATCTAAATAAATTAAACTTTCCAATCAAAAGGCAGATATTGTCAGAATGGATAAAACAGCATGATTCAACTATGTGCTGTGTACAAGAGACTCACTTTATATCCAAAGACATGAATAGATTGAAAGTTAGAGGACTGAAAAAGATACTCCATATGAATAGTAACCAAAAGAGACCAGGGGTGGCTATACTGATATCAGACAAAAATAAGACTTTATTTCAAAAACTGTTAAAAGAGACAGAGGGACACTATATATTGATAAAAAGGCCAATTAATCAGGAAGATATAACAACTATAAACATAAATTAACCACAAAACAGAGACCCAAAATATATGAAGCAAATATTAACATAATTGTAGACTACAGTAATAGTTGGCAAATTCAATACATCACTTTCAATAATGGATAAAACATCTAGGCAGATAATTTATAAGGAAAATGAAAACAAACATAACTTATGAGATGTAGTGACACCAGTGCCCAGAGGGAAATTTATAGCTACATTAAAAAAGAGAAAAGATCTCAAACCACTTTGTGGATTTAGACATCTTGTGGAACCAGAAAAAGAAGAGAAAACCTAACACAAAGCTAACAGAAGGAAGAAAATAATAAAGATTAGAACAGTGATAAATAAAATTGAGAATAGAAAAACAACAGACAAAACCAACAAAACCAAAAGTGGTTATTGAAAAAGATCAACAAAATTGACAAACATTTATCTAGAGTGACAAAGGAGAAAATAAAAAGGATACAAATAACTAAATCAGATATGAAAGTGAGGACATTACTACTGAACTTACAGAAATGTAAAGGATTATAAGAGACCACTATTAACAACTTAAGCCAACAAACTGGATAACCTAGATAAAATGCACAAATTCCTAGAAATACACAAAGACCTAAACTGACTCAAGATGAAATAGAACATTTCAACAGACATGTAACAAGTAAAAGGATTGAATCAGTAATCAAAAACCTCCCAACAAAAAAAGTCCAGGACCAGATGGCTTCACTAGTGAATTTTACCAAACATGTAAAGAAGAATTAATACGAATCCTTTTCAAACCCTTCCAAAAAGCTGAAAGGAAGGGAACACTTCCTAACTCATATGATGAGGCCATCATTACATTGATATCAATTCCACACAAAGGTATCACAAGAAAGCTACAGATAATACCTCTTATAAATATAGATACAAAAATCCTCAACAAAATTCTAGCAAACACAATTCAATAGCATATTGAAAGGATTATACCTCATGACCATATGGGATTTACCCCAGGAATGCAAGAGTGGTTCAACATGGGAAAATCAATCAATGTAATACTACTCCACACTAATGGAACAAAGGATAAAAACCACATGATCATCTCAAAAGATGCAGAAAAGGCATTTGACAAATTCCAATATCTTCTCATGATAAAAACACTCAAAAACAAGGAATGGAAGGAAAGTTCCTCAAAGTTATAAAGTCAATAATGAAAACTGCATAGCTAACATCATAGTCAATGGTAAAAATGGAAAGCTTTCCACCTAAGATCAGGAACAAGATAAGGATGCCCACTTTCACCAATGATATTCAACATTGTTCTGGAAGTGCTAGCCAGAGCAATTAGACAAGAAATCGAAATAAAAGGAATTCAAATTGGAAAGGAAGAACTGTAACTATCTCTTTGCACAGATTATATGATTATATATATGAAAAATCCAAAGACTCCACAAGAAAACTACTAACGTTAGTAAACAAATTCAGTAAATCTGCAGGTTATAAGATAAACACACAGGATTCAGCGGTTTCTAACCATGCACGATGAACAACCTCAAAACGAACTTAAAGAAGTAATTCCATTTAGTGTTTAAAATAATGAAATACTGAGGAATGCATTTAACCAAAGAAGTGAAAGACGTGTATGCTGAAAACTACAAAACATTGATGAAAACTAAAGAAGACCTAAATTAATGGAAAGACATTCTTAGTTCATGGGGAGGAAGACTTAATATTGTCAAAATGACAATCTCACCTAAGCAATCTACAGATTCAACACAATCTCTATCAAAATTCCAATGGCGTTTTTTTCCAGAAATGGAAAGGTCAACACTCAAATTCACATGGAATTACAAGGAGCCCTGGATATCCAAAATAACCTTAAAATGAAAAAAAAAAATGGACATCTGAGATTTCCATATTTCAAAACTTATAAAAAAGCTACAATAATTAAAACAGAGTGGTACTAGTCTATGGATTGACATATAGACCAATGGACTAGAACTGAGCGTCTGGAAATAAACCCATACATCTACAGCCCATTGATTTTTGACAAGGATGCCAAGTCCATTCAACTGGGAAAGAGCAGTCTCTTCAACAAATGGTACTTGGACAACTGAATTTCCACATGTACAAGAATTAAGTTGGACCCCTACTCCACATCACATACAACTATGAATTAAAAATTGCAATCACCTACATTTCAGAGCTAAAACCATAAAACTCTTGAAGGAAACATAGGGTAAATGTGCATGACCTTGGACTTGTCAATGGATTCTTAGATATAACACCAAAACACAAGTAGCAAAAATAAAAATAAATAACTTGAATTTCATCAAAATTAAAACTTTTGTGCATTAAAGGACATTATCAAGAAAGTAAAGAGATAATCTACAGAGTGGGAGAAAATATTTGCAAATCATATATCTTGATAAGGATTTAATATCTAAAATATATAAAGTATTCATCAACAATAGGACTCAACACAACAAAAGGACAAACAACTTCATTAAAAATAGGCAAATGTGGGAATTTCCTGGCAGTCCAGTGGTTAGGACTCCACGCTCTCACTGCCAAGAGCCTGAGTTCAATCCCTGGTCAGGAAACTAAGTCCTGCAAGCCAAATGTGGGAATTTCCTGGCAGTCCAGTGGTTAGGACTCCACGCTCTCACTGCCAAGAGCCTGAGTTCAATCCCTGGTCAGGAAACTAAGATCCTGCAAGCTGTGTGGCACAAAAAAAAAAAAAAAAAAAAAAAAAAGGGCAAAGGACCTGAATAGGCATTTCTCCAAAGAAGATATACAAATGACCAGTGAACACATAAAAAAGATACTTAACATCATTAGTTACTAGGGAAATGCAAATCAAAACCACAATGAGATGTCACTTTATACCTACAAGGATGGCCATAATCAATAAAACAGAAAATAAGTGTTGGTGAGGATGTGGAGAAATTGGAAAACTTACACATTGCTGGTGGGATATAAAATTGTGTAGCCTCTGTGAAAAATAGTTTGATGGTTCTTCAAAAAGCTAACCAGAGAATTATCATACAACCCACTAATTCTACTCCTAGGTATATGCTGAGAAGAATTGAAAACAAGTTCAAACAGAGATTTGTACACCAACGTTCATTGCAGCATTATTCACTATAGTCAGAAGATGGAAATATTCCAAGGGCCCATAAACAGATAAGTAGATAAAATGTGGTATATACATAAAATGGAATATTATTCAGCCATAAAAAGGAATTCATGCTACAACATGGATAAACCTTGAAAACATTATGCTAAGTGAAATAAGCCAGTCACAAAAGGACAAATACTGTATGATTCCACTTACATGAAATCTCTACAATAGGCAAAATCATGGAAACAGAAAGTAGATTAAAAAGTAACCAAGACTTGGGGGAGACAATGGGGAGTTATAGCTTAATGGTTACAGAGTTTCTGTTTGGGGTGATGGAACATATTTATAAAGAGATAGCTGTGATGGTTGCACAACAGTGTGAATGTAATTAATGCGACTAAATTGTACACTTAAAAATGGTTTTTAGGGACTTCCCTGGTGGTCCAGTGGTCAAGACTCCATGCTCCCAGCGCAGGGGGCCCAGGTTGGATCCCTGGTCAGGAAACTAGATCCCGCATGCCACAACTAAGAGCCTGCATGCCACAACTAAGAGCCCACATGCTGCAAATAAAGATCCCATGTGCCGCAACTAAGACCTGGCATAGCCAAATAATTAAATAAATAAGTACCTTTTTCTTAATGGTTTTTAAAATGGTACATTTTATGTTACATATATTATATATACATTATATACATATATATCACCACAATAAAATATTTTTTAAAGTTAGTGTTTAAAAAACTAATAAAAGTCTTTTACCTGTAGCATGATGTGATTGCAAATAATATGATTAGAAGGTATGCCAAGTGAAACAAGGGGATCACTGTCATAGAAGTTGCCTCAAATTCCAGTTGTCTAGAAAGTGATGTAAAGTAGACCACCTGCCACAAAAATATACTCAGATAAGTAACTTTTAATTCTGATATTGTGTGTGTTACAAATGATATTGAAACACTATAGCTTATTGATTGAAACATTAAAATTCAGTAAAGAATCAAACTATGTGGATTATGATTTTAGAATAAAGAAGGTAATAAAGATTTGCTTCTTCCCACAAATCTCTGGCATGCTTTCCAAAGTTTATTTCAAAAATCTAAAGTTTAAAACTCCTGAATATATGAAATCTGAATCTTATATAAAAAAATCATTGATAACTATAGACATTTTGGCTTTTTCTAAATTTTTATTAGGTTGTTATCTTTTACTATTTTAACTGCACAAATATCATTTCATTAAGGACTGGGTATTCAAAGGCTTTTCCCAGAAGGTGTCTCACTTTCACCAGTTTTGTTCAGAGTATTAGGTTTGCCAGCCCAGCAACTACTGAACAGCTAACATGTATGTGCCTGGCACTATGCTATAATTTACTTTTAAAATGCTCAGCATTCTTTTTCAACAAAACCATGGAACTTTTGCTCATAGATTTGTTTTTTTTTATTCCACTGAACTCTAAACAAATCTTAGGGGGCTCCCAGAAACAGCAAAGACTTTAACTAAAAGTAAAAATTTCAAAGTAATTTGACCAGAAAACCAAACTAAACCTTAAGATCAATGTCTGTACTGAACAGAACAACCTTCAGGATGTACAATTTGTGTTTTTCAGCAAAATGTTACCAAGGATTTAAGATTTCTGGCTTTTTTTTTTTTTTTTTAGGTCTTAGCTCTCTTTTTTATTTTATTTTATTTTTTAAAAAATTTTGTTGTAGTATAGTTGATTTACAATTATGTGTTAGTTTCAGGTGTACAGCAAAGTGAATCAGTTATACATATGCATATATCCACTTTTAGATTCTTTTGTGGCATTCTTCAGTGCGCTATGTTAAGAAAGTTGGATTAAGGACCAAATACAGCAGAACACACCCAGCTTCAAGTCAAGGGCTCCATCAAGTAATTAAGGAGTGCGGTTGCAACAAGTCTTCGTATCCCTCCCGCCCTCTCCTGGCCTCCCTGTAAAGCCCCAGCCGCGAGGTACCTGTCTTCTTCAAGGCCAGACTCTTTCCAAGGTTGCCAACTTGGTTCAGGAAGTGCCTCAGCCACGCCTTGCTACGTTCACCGTCCTCTCCTTCGCCAGTCTTCAGGTAGTACTGCAGCCGCATGGTTTTGGCCTCCAGGAGTAACTGGCTCAGTCCCATGCTCTCGCCTAACACAGTTCCTCCAAGGATTCTGGCCAGGTACACGACCTGGCCGGCTAGGCTGTGGATGGGGAAGGTGATGTTTTTCAGGCTGAGGACACTGTTCGTTTTCCAGGCGAACAATAGTGGGTTGGAGGGTACACAGTAGCCCTGGTTCTTCGAGTACACCTCACTGCAGAGGATCTGGGTTCCGCTGGCCTGTGTCACAGTCAAAGCCTGAACCGCGTCGTCCACTTCACTAATTTCTGATAAGGTTTCTTGTTCCAGCAGCGAGTTGGTGTTGGAGACCACTAGACTGGAAGCATAATTGGCCTCGGTGCTCTTCCTGGCGATGGAGAAGAGACTGGAGTCGTTGGCGGTGAAATGTCCCTGCACGAAGCGTCGCTCAGCCTTGGCGGGGCTCCCTATCGGGGCGCACTGCTCCTCGAGGTCTTCTTCCTTGGGCAGGTGGATCAGGCCAGTGCCGAGGACGGCCGTTAAAACCATGGGCAGCAGCAAGAAGATCCAGGGGTGCGAGCCCACCTCCCATCCCAGCCGCCGGAAAGCCCGGGAGAGCGGCGCTGCCAGGCAGTCGGTGTGGCAGCGGGGCCTGTCGGACACTCCGTTCTCAGACCCCAACGCCGGCAGCGGCTGCGACTCCGGCGGGGCCCCCGCGCGCTGCCCCGCCGCCCAGCCCAGCTCGAGCTCCTGTCCCGGACCCAACGCCGAGACCGGCTCCCGCTCTGGCTTTGCTGCCTGGAGAGGCCCGGAGCCGTGCCCTGCTGGCTGCTGCGGCCGGCTCTCAGAGTCCGGCCCCGGCCCCGCCTCCGGCCCCTGCGCTACTGGCCCCGGTTCCTGCCCCGCCTCCCGCCCGGGCGCCGCCTCTGGCGCAACCTTAGCTGCATTAAGGCTCATTTCCGGGAAGGAAAGGCGAAGTTCTCAAACAGGATAGCAGATTGGAAGGGCGCTGCTAGACGGAGCGCCCATCTCCACCCACCCGACGGTTTCCTGGAGAAATTCTGAGGGAGTCTGTTTGAGCCCGGGCTGCTCGCGCCCGGAGGCTGGAGCTTCGCTGGCGGCCACGTGGTAGCCTAACCGGCCCCAAATGTGTCCCTGCACCCAGCCTCTCAGGATTCAGTGAATACAAGAAACACTTCTTACAGGCGAATGGAATCGTGCCTGTCCTACAGGACTCACAATTTATTGGCAGAATTTGGCTGGTTCACGGGCACCCCCCCGCCCCCCACCACGCACGCGCGCGTGCGCGCGCACGCGCATTCACGGGCACCCCCCCGCCCCCCACCACGCACGCGCGCGTGCGCGCGCGCGCGCACACACACACACACACACACACACACACAAATGACACATATGTCATGTGTTCTAAGTGGCAGCTTTTACCTTTGGGGGGATCATCCAGAAGCATGGTTCTCAGGGTAAGGCTTTGGTGAACATGGTACACCTAATTTAGTTGTTTTTCTTCTTTAACTATAGACATAACATTCTCCTTGTAAAAAGTTAGAAGTAAATGCATAGAATGAAAAGTGAAAAAAAAGAAAATAACCCAAAAGCCAACGCTAAAACTTCCTTCTGTCCCATTCCTCCTTTTAACGGAAGTGTTAAAAAGTGGGTGTTTATCCTTTCAAACCATTTTCTTTGCATTTGCAGGCATATCAAAATATATGCAAGTATATCTTTCCCATGAGTATTATTGCACTGTGTATGCAGATTACATTGTTCACCAAATATGTCAAAGGATATTAACATGTGACTGCATGTAGAGTTATCTTACTCTTTTGAATTGCTTTATAATTTTCCAGTGTATGGGTGAAACATAAATGAGCCATAACCCTATTGATAGATCTGTGGGTCTTTTAGAGGGTTTTGCTGATATAAACAGTGGTAAGTGAATGAATGTCTTTTACTTAGAGCACAAGAACTATATGTGTGAGATGTTTTTGTAGAAAGGGATTTACTGGACCAAAGGATATCCCTTTACGCGGGCCTCTCCCTGCTGTGGCCTCTCCCGTTGCGGAGCACAGGCTCCGGACACGCAGGCTCAGCGGCCATGGCTCACGGGCCTAGCCGCTCCGCGGCATGTGGGATCTTCCCGGACCGGGGCACGAACCCGTGACCCCGGAATCAGCAGGCAGACCCTCAACCACTGCGCCACCAGGGAAGCCCAAGGATATCCCATTTTAAATTTCAGAGTTAATGATAAAATCCATAGAAGTTGTATCAGTTTACACCCTCATAAGCAGTGCATGAAGTTTTGTTTTGCCACAGCCTGTCCCAGAATGTCATTAAAATGTTTGATTTGTGCCACTGGTATCTTATTTTGATTTTACTCTTTTAATTTGTTGCTTAGACTCACCATATTTCCTCTCTGGGTGAACTATCATCTCATATCTTTTCCTGGTTTCCCTTTTGGACTGTTAGAATTTTCTTCTTGATTATAGAAACTATTCATATACTAATGAAATGACCGTTTTGAGTCATGAGTCTCCCCACCCCCCTACTCTCCCATCCCCATTTTGCTGGTTGCCATGCCTTCTGTTTGTAGTTGAATTAACTAATTTTTTTTAAACGAGTTCTGGATTTTGTTTCATAATAGCTGTTTCCCTTTCAGTGATTATAATCTACTTTAAATTCACTCCTTTTTTAAAATTACTGAAGTATAGTTGATTTACAATGTTGTGTTAGTTTCTGGTGTACAGCAAAGTGATTCAGTTATACATATAAATACATATTATTTTTCATATTCTTTTCCATTATGGTTTATTACAGGATGTTGAATACAGTCAATATCCAGTAGGATCTTGTTATCTATTTTATATATAGAAGTTTGTCTCTGCTAATCCCAAACTCCTAATTTACCCCTGCCCCACCCCCTTTACCCTTTGGTAACCATAAGTTTGTTTTCTATGTCTGTTTCTGTTTCAAAAATAAGTTCATTTGTGTCATACTTTAGATGCCATATATAAGTGATATCATATGGTATTTATCCTTCTCTTTCTGACTTACTTCACTTAGTAGAATAATCTCTAGGTCCATTCATGTTGCTGCAAATGGCATTATTTCATTCTTTTTCATGACTGAGTAGTATTCTGTTGTGTATATGTACTACATCTTTTTTTATTCATTCATCTGTCGACGGACATTTAGGTTGCTTCTGTGCCTTGGCTATTGTAAATAGTGCTGCTATGAATGTTAGGGTGCATATATCTTTTTGAATTAGAGTTTTCTCTGGATATATGCCCAGGAGTGGGATTGCTGGATCATATGGTAGTTCTATTTTTAGTTTTTTAAGGAACTGCCATGCTGTTTTCCATAGTGGCTGCACCAATTTACATTCCTACCAACAGTTTAGGAGGGTTGCCTTTTCTCCACACCTTCTCCAGCATTTGTTATTTGTAGACTCTTTAATAATGGCCATTCTGACCGGTGTGAGGTGGTACCTCATTGTAGTTTTGATTCGCATTTCTCTAATAATTTTTAGCAATGTTGAGCAGCTTTTCATGTGCCTATTGGCCATCTGTGTGTCTTCTTTGAAGAAATGTCTATTTAAGTCTTCTGCCCATTTTTTGATTGGGTTGTTTGTTTTTTTGTTACTGAGTTGTATGAGCTGTTTTTATATTTTGGAAATTAAGCCTTTGTCAGTCACATCATTTGCAAATATTTTCTCCCATTCTGTAGGTTGTCTTTTTGCTTTATTTATTGTTTCCTTTGCTGTTCAAAAGCTTGTAAGTTTGATTAGGTCCCATTTGTTTATTTTTGTTTTTATTTCTATTGCCTTGGGAGATTGACCTAAGAAAACATTGGTATGATTTATGTCAGAGAATGTTTTGCCTATGTTCTAAGAGTTTTATGGTGTCATGTTAACAAGTCTTTAAGCTATTTTGAGTTTATTTTTTGTATGGTGAGAGGGTGTGTTTTTTTTTTTTTTTTTTTTTTTGCAGTACGCGGGCCTCTCACTGTTGCGGCCTCTCCCGTT